CCAGGGATTAAGTTTAAAACGTTCGGGCAACGAGATGTATAAAAACTTTAAAAGCGATATAAAAAGTATGATACATAAACACATTACAGTTTAATCAGACTTTAATGTTTATTCTTAGAGTGTCACATCTAAATTGCTTTGTACTTGAAAACTACGTCAGGAACCATGCAAATACAGGTTTATCCAAGAAAACCTGTACGAGTAATGATGTACCAGTTCCAACAGTTTAGTTTCTTTTAAATATCGAGCAAAGCTATGCGAGAGCTATTTGCGATAGCCGTCCCTAATTTAGCAGTGAAGGCACCACCCGCCGCCAACTCTTGGGCTACTCTTTTACCAACGAATAGTTGAATTGGCGTCAAATTATAATGCCCCCACGGCTGAGAAAGGGTATCGTTGGTGGGACGGGGTTGCGAGTCGAGATCCCTAACCACCTGGCCATGCCAGGCCCGTGTACTAACAGTCTTACATACATTAAAGAATGTTTAAATAAATGTTTACCAAAGAGAGAACTGGTGTTAATTCATTCGTTATCATCAGTTATGCCACAGCAGGTAACATTAAAATTTAAGACTTGAAGTTACAACAAAACAAATATTTGATTTTAACCATCTTTGCACTAACTACTCTTCCTATTCTTAAAATAAAAAATTCTCATAAAAAATTTCAAATTTCTTAATAATTTTAGTAATTTAATTCTCAGTAAACACAGAACTTTCTATGATAATGTCACTCATATAAATTGCAGCTGTTTCACATTAGAGGAATTCTTACAAAAGATCTAATTTTTAACTTGATAATACCTTTGTGCATTTTTGTCAGCATGTCTTCCAACAGATACAACGAATTTCAGCAGGAGGTAATTTCAGTCAAAAAAACAACAAAAACAACAACAACGAAAATTCCATGTCAGGGATTTAATTTAGGAGAGAAAGAAGCTTTCCCCAACTGGGGTGTTCAGTGTATATCCCCTTTCGACCCACTGACGGTGGGTGTGATAACTAGCTGCCTTCCCTCTAGTCTTTCACTGATACAAAAGATAGATGTCTAAGGTTGCCTGATTGTTGTTAAATGATTTGTATATTGATTCAGTGAGTCTGTTTGTCTACATTTACAGGAAGAGTTTTGAATATTGTTGTTTCCACAGAAGAAGAGTGGTCTATTGGATACAATACGTTCTAGTTGTTTACCTAAACAGCTTATTAGACTAATTGGTCTAATGTTGTCGGGGTTAAAGTTATTTGAAGAAGTATGACTGTGGTTGTAGTCAGTATGACTATGGTTGTAGCCAGTATGACTGTGGTTGTAGCTGTTTTCCACGTATCCTAATAATACCAATGATATTAAGTAGATGAAAAACAAGGTTGAGTGCACAATGTTTCGTATTCCGTCATGTCGGGGGCTGAGTTTTTGAGGGATTTAATGTTGATATTCATTCCGTCCATGGTGATTTTTCTGTTGGATAAATTTGAGTTATCAGTGAGCATTGAATGATTTGTGATTGGTGTTGGAAATTTCGGATTAAATAGTTTGGGTTGAGATTGTGAGTATCAACTGCTTGTTTTAGGGGTTGATTAAATGAGGGAGAGTCAGCGTCTGAGAAAGAATTTGTGAAATAATCGGAAAGTAGATTTGATTTATTTGCAGGGGGTGAGGGTGTAACCAGTTGTCATTTTTTAATATGTTTATGTTTCTCTTGATAAGAGTATATATTCTATTAATTTAGGGTTTCAGTGAAGTGTCACATGTTGCCATAAACCTTCTTCGTTTAAGAGTAACTTGATGTAATTCTGGAGTTAAAGTCCAATGTTCGATTCTACTGCCTCTATATCAGTGGTTCTTAACCTTTTTTTGCTCCATGCCCCACCTCGACACCTCAAAAAATTTGATGCCCCCTTAATATAAAAAACAAATTTGGTGGTGAAAAGGTATAAAGATATAATGTAAAATTTAGAGATTTACCAAAATTTCACACCCAAATAAAAAAAATTTCTTATTGTACCATTTTCAAATTGCCCCCCCTGTGGGGTGTGCGCCCCACGTTCAGAATCATTGCTCTATGTGTTGTAGAGATAGTACTTTTCGTGGCCTCAGAAATAGCTTTGGTAATGTCGTTTTCGTAGTTGTATAAGTGGTCTTTATTTGAAATTGTGATCACTAGACTTGGTAAAAGGGTATCTGTTGAAGTTTTTGTGTAGTTGTACACTTGTGGGAGATGTGTAGGTGTGTTCCGTCTGTTCATTTGTAGAGAGAAAGATATAGGAGATTGCTAACATTGCGTTAGGGATTATCACTAAGTCGAGTATGTCATAAGAGATTGTAGCTGATTGTAGCTGCGTTAAACGGTTAGAGTATTATTGTTAATGACGTACATGTAACTGTGAAAGGCTAAATTTCAGTCAACAAGTTTATACTTATTCGGACTAGAATATTTGTATATCACAAACCCTGCAGTAAACAGATACATATCAGTCGCGCTTCTAAGTTATAGACATTCTTATAACAAATTATCAAGGTTTTCTTAAACACATTTATCCACTTTCATTAAAAACAAAGTACAATATCTTGATTTATATATCAATATCATAAATCTAACATTCAAGTTGAAAGTTTTCAATAAAACGGACACTTTCAGCTTTAAAAATATACACTTCTATTTCCAAATAAGTTATGTTACACTTTTTACCATTCAAAGCTTAATAAATACAATAGAATTTGTTCATAATTATAATAGTTTCTGGATAGAAGTTGTAAATTCACTCTCATCGTTCATAATGAAGATTCCCATTGTGCAATTCAAACCACAAAATACTTTCAATTATGTGGATAATTCAACAATATTTATGCTCCTGATTAAAGGATTAGTAGTTTTACATCCGTTCACAATTTATCAAGGTTACCAGTGTTTTGGACCTTTACTTATTAGCAGTAGTAAATCTTCGTTAGTTCCGATATCAAGGTTACCAGTGTTTTGGACCTTTACTTATTAGTAGTAGTAAATCTTCGTTAGTTCCGATATCAAGGTTACCAGTGTTTTGGACCTTTACTTATTAGCAGTAGTAAATCTTCGTTAGCCCCGATATCAAGATTGCCGGTGTTTTGGACCTTTACTTATTAGCAGTAGTAAATCTTCGTTAGTTCCGATATCAAGGTTACCAGTGTTTTGGACCTTTACTTATTAGCAGTAGTAAATCTTCTTTAGCCCCGATATCAAGGTTACCAGTGTTTTGGACCTTTACTTATTAGCAGTAGTAAATCTTCTTTAGCCCCGATATCAAGGTTACCAGTGTTTTGGACCTTTACTTATTAGCAGTAGTAAATCTTCGTTAGTTCCGATATCAAGGTTACCAGTGTTTTGGACCTTTACTTATTAGCAGTAGTAAATCTTCGTTAGC